TAATACTAGAAATATCCAGATACTCACGCCCTCTGTCGTACAGGAACACATCTTACACGGAGAAACGCGGTCACGGGTTCCCAAGACGAAGTCGGATGTTTCCCACACTACAAGAAGATTGTTCTTTCCAATTGTCCAGGTTCAAGCCCGACAGGGTCTTGCAGAGAACCCTGGGGTTTCTGAGGGGTACAACATCACAAGAAAAGCCTCTCAAGGTTTTGTTATTTCTTACTTTCAACGAATTCGTGCGATTTTTAGACAAGTATTAGTAACACTTATCAGTCTGCGATTTTTAGACAAGTATTAGTAACACTTATCAGTCTGCGATTTTTAGACAAGTATTAGTAACACTTATCAGTCTGCGATTTTTAGACAAGTATTAGTAACACTTATCAGTCTTAGTGAAAACGGTAAGGTTCAGTATGACGTCATTATTAACAAAAATTAATAAATTCTTATAATAATCGTGGATCGTTCATATCAAAATAGAAACAACCTGTTGCTACTTGCTGTTTAATAACACTCTTCACTCATCAGTTTAATAAACATGTTTTTTTTAACGTAAATATCGTTAAGTAAATTGTGTGTATGTGGATAGTTCTAACTGTAACCCATTTAGTACCAAGCGTTTTAAATTAAACCTAATATTGTTCTTGTATAAAGTAACATTTTTTGGCAATTAGGCACTTCTGGTCATTAAAAAAACGTAACCTTACAAAACACTTCTGGTCAATAACACAACCTAAACAAACAAAAACACTTCTGGTCATTAAAAAAAACGTAACCTTACAAAACACTTCTGGTCAATAACAAAACCTAAACTCACAAAAATTGATCAGGAAGATCGAATGCCCAGCGTTGGATGACGTCAATAGTATCAGAATTATCACAAATAATCTTGGCCAACGTCACTCTTCTGATGTCTTCCAGCTGGTCTGAAATCAATGAATTTACACAATGATTTGACAATTTGTGTAATAGTATAAAACTAAGAGTGCCATCTGATGACAAATATAAGAAAAAAAAGGTATTAAAACTAAGCCTACCGTCCACTAACAAACATAAGAGAAAATGAATTGAAATTAAGACTACTGTCCAGTAACAAACATGAGAGAAAATTTATTTAAACTAAGCCTACCTTTCAGTAACAAACATAAGAGAAAATAGATTGAAATTAAGCCTACTGTCCAGTAACAAACATGAGAGAAAATTTATTTAAACTAAGCCTACCTTTCAGTAACAAACGTTAAAGAAAAAGTATTAAACTAAGCCTACCGTCTAGTGTCAAACATGGGAGTAAAAGTATTCAAATTAATCATACTTTCTAGTGTTAAACATAGTCTGTTCTCTTCTGTTTCATCTTAAGCTTAATTGCAATTTTCTTATCGTTAGGTGTTTTTCTTCTAAATAAACACATGCATTTCCTGCTTTTATGCTGACAGTTCTGTTACTTGGCGTGGTTCTTTACCTTCAGTAAATCGGACGAGTGGCTCGTCAGTTTCATACCAGAATCGGTCACTGTGTCGCAGAATATTAAACTGAAGCCCAATGATACAACCAAAAGTTGGGCCCACCAGCCCACCGTTAAGAGGAGTCTCCACAAGCCCTCCGGTAAAGAGGTCTATGTCATCTACAGAACTAGAGCAACATATAAAATACATGTGATAAAAATCCAGGTAAACAAATCGATGTCATCTACAGAACTAAAGCAACATATAAAATACAGGTGATAAAAAATCCAGGTAAACAAATCGATGTCATAAATAAACACGGCTGAAACAACATATAAAATAGAAGTGATAAAAAGTCCAGGTAAACAAATCGATGTCATTAACACAGCTGACACAACATATAAAATACAAGTGATAAAAAGTCCAGGTAAACAAAT